TTCAAAAAATATTAAAAACTTTTAAAAATAATTTTTTCACTATACAAACTAAATACAAACAATATTAAAACATTTTTCTAACTTTTATAACAATGACTTCTAACACTTTAGAATTTTATAGCGATGTTTTCGCGAAAGATACAAAAACTTTTTTACAACTTATCACTAACGTTACTCCACACCTCGCTGAAAGAGACGTGGCTATAGCAAAATTTCTAGGTTTTCAGACTCCCGAAATCTTTTGGCTTATCAGAAAACTCAACTTCGAATACGAATAAACTTTTTTCAGAAAAAATAGAACTCCTTAAAAACTTTATTGAACAGATAGCACATACTAGTACGTTAACAATACACAAAACTGGAATAAACAACTTTGCCACAAATATCACCAAAGACATAATCAACAACACTATAAATAATATTTTAGAGAACGATGACATTATCTTCATTGCTGACACCTCCTCTCCTGAAATGGATATACTCGAAGAAGACGATATGGACTCTTTATCTCAAATCATATACAAAGGACTTCCTCACCTTTCAACTGTCTCAACTAACAATACCATCATCTCTCCAAATAATGATTTGATCATTTCTGACTTATCTACGTGTCAATCACATAAACAGTTGCATCAACAAAATAAAAACACGTCAAATAATATTTTATTACGTGATAATAATAATTTACCTCCTATTTTATCAAACATTAACATAGACACGTCTATGCATAACATCAACAACAGTATGTACCATAATATTTTAGATAAGAATGATCTACGTCATACAATCAATCATACTTCTCACACTTCTTCTAATAATAATAATAGTCATGTGATCGCAACGGTTCTTGCCAATGTTCTTCCTGGTGATAATAGATTTGATCAATTAAGTTTGATCAACACTTGCTTTTCAAACAAGCCTGGTTTTATTAATCTTGATTGGAAATTTTACAACGGCAATGCCAACATTTTTATTGAATTCAATAATTGAAAACTCCTTCTTTTCGTGATCGATGAAATTCTGATGACACATCCCAATATCCTATTTAATATTTTGAATCAAGATACTTCTTTTCCTTCCAATCCAAATGTGCCTATATATAGATTAAAAACAGTTCCCACTATGATCTCTCACCAACATATAAAAAGAGCGTTATCCTACTATGGACCTATAGAAATATTAGAAGACAAATTTAGAAATCATTATGATTCTTCTCAGGATGTAATTATCACTTTCAAAAGACTCACAAAACCACATCAATTGAACTTAGCCTGGGCCTATAATATTAATGGACTAGTTCTAAGATGTGCACATATTGATATCTCCGTCAAAGATCTCAAAGCAAGAAATAGCTTCATCACTGGTTTCAAAGGATTCCCAAATAAAACTACACCAGTAGAAGCATTCAGATCAATGAGACCTCATGAAGCCCGTTCTTGTTATTTTCACAACAATATTGCTTACTTTGCATTCTCGAATGAATCTGATATGCATTGAGTTTGTTCAGCTAGAATTCTCCACAATGGATATAAATTGGATGGATGACCTAGAATCATCAGTAGATCATACAACCCCACTCAACAAACCATTCCAGGTCATAACTCCAATCTAAATAAAAGACACAACAGACGTAATTCAGCTTTTCACAAATCAGGAGGTTAAATGAATATCAATCACTTCGTTTCATCTCCACATCCTGCTCCAAATGTTCCTGTCGACATCACACTAAAAGGCAAAAATAAGGATTCGTCTCATCCACCTTCTTCTAATACTAATGTTGATCCTTTAACTGCTATACTCAATAAACTACAAGAATTAGATTCAATCAAAGCCCATTTAGCCAAACTTGATGCTTAATTCTTAAACTTTTCTAATCATGATAGAGCTGTTGCCCTACGCTTATAACAGCCACACCAGGCGAATCACAGTTAAATGATATTCATACTGATAACCTGAATATTCATAATAATAACAACATGGATGTGGACTCATTCTTAAAAACTCAAATTTTAACATTTTATATACAGAGAACCCAAATGACTAAAAAATTGGACATGGATATTGCACAAATTGATGATACCAATGTCAACACAATTATAGATGGAGCTGTCATTAAATTTTCTATACACAACGTTCTCAGTTTAGCTGAAAAGACTGATCCAATTAAATCCTCTCAAATTTTTGAACATTGTTGTCTCAACAAATTAGATTTTATCAGCCTTACTGAAACTCATCACACCAGCTTCATTTTCTACAAACACAATAAGGATGAAGATTATACTTCTTACTGGAGCAAGCCTGATCCATATGAACCTTATGCTGGAGTTGGTTTCTTAATATCGAATAAATGGGCTCAATATATTATTCGATCTTTCACTTCTACGTCCAGATATACTTACGTTGATTTTTTATCAAAGGCCATATCAAACTGCGTATTTTTAGTATTTATATTCACGCTAATTATCATGATAAAGCATCAGCTCACAATAGACGTTTACTCCAAAAGGAGATTCTCCAGTTAATTGATGACAGTCTTAAAAATCATTTCTACATTATTATCATGGGAGATCTTAATATTGACATAGACTCTTACCAACAAAAACTAAAAGACAACAAACTGTTGGGATGGCGTTTCTCACTAATTGAAGGTTTCTTTCATAGGAATCTAATAGATCTCCAACAAATTAGCAACGATCACATCATACCCACCTTTTTTCCACTCAACAATAATAATACACGTTAGGATTCTCCTCGTCGATTAGATGGAATCTTTGTTTCACCTGATTTTATTGTTGACTTCTTATATTGTGGGGTATCTAAACCACTTTTATACAAATCTGACCATAGAATGATCACAGCCTTCTTTGCAGATTTCGAACCTAAACAAGAAGCTAATGCTAGGTGACACAACAACAAAAGAAGAAAATTCATTTTCTCATCCATGAACAACCACAAATGGAATACTTTATCAGAAAAACTGGATAAATTCTTTCATAATAAACAGTTGGACCGTTTAAATCAACTAACTCCTTCATTGGCTAACATGAACCTCCTATGGGAACAGCTCAGAACTGCTATCATGACCATTACAAATAAAACCATTCCAGTCCGATGGATTTCTGCAGACCAACAGGAACCTAAACCGAAGGAATTGGTTTCCTACTATGAACAAATGAAGAAGTTAAACAAGATCATCCTCAAATTTCGTGCATCAAGGATAAAAACTAAAACATGGCCTATAGCACAGGAATGGATCAATGATTATTCCTCCATTCAAGCAATAATAAAGGATACTAAACTTCCTATTATAACACTCCCCAATATTCTTGATCCATTCAATATTAAACACACTAAATGCATTCTTCTCAAACTATATCACAACCTCAAAGCTTTAGCCAGAATCGAAGAAGAAACTCTCACAAGACAAAAAATAAAGTATCGTATTAATCAACGATGTCTGCAATATGAATCTGCTCCTGGGAAAATGATTCAGTCAGCTCTTAGACGTAAAAAAAAAAATAGTATTAGATCGTCTCATCATTAATAATGTCAACGATCACCAACTTTTCATTAATGACCCGAAACTAATTAAAGAACATGTCAATCATTATTTCCAAAATTTTGCTATTCCTTCATCACCTGCTGCACCAATTACAGGCCGATGGATCGAGTAATTTACCCTAATTGAAGGTATAAATGAAGTTTGGTATGGTAACATTATGCAACCCCCAACTTTAGAAGAATGGATGGCAGTTATTTCGCATCTTCCTAATGATAAAGCTTCAGGACCTTCGGGCAGTGATGTACATTTTCGATATCCTAAACATTTTGAGACTGTCCCATACTATGTCCCAAAATGTCCCACATTAAGTCCCAATGTCCCAGGCCATGTCCCAAAAATGTTCCATGACAACACTGCCTTCGGGTATCCACAATGAAATGATCAAACAGCTTAGCCTGATTGTCCAATCTCTTTTATAGAAAATGATCACTATGTATTTCAACCTGAATGATATTCCTTCAGAATGGAAGTCAGTCCACATTTATCCGATTCCTAAGCCCATGAGTTAGGATTGTGATATCACTAAAACCAGACCTATCACACTGTTAGAATCGCCTAGAAAGGCAATAGTTAAAATTATCACGAATAGGTTATCTCATATCATGACCAAACACAACATACTTAAAGGCAACAATTTCGCTGGATTACCTGGCAGTTCAATGAAAGATTCTATTAAGATCATGAATATGATCATTGAAGACTCTGTTGAACACAAAAAAGAAATTTGGATTCTCTTACAAGACCTCTCCAAGGCTTATGATAGAGTCGATCTCAACATTCTAAAACTAGCACTTAGAAGAATAAAAATACCAGAAAATTGTACCACTTGCATCTTGAGCCTTTTCACCGATCGAAGAAATGCCGTTTTTACCAAAGATAGCCTAACAAACTTTTATGATATAAGAATCGGTATTGATCAAGGTGAAGTAATTTCATCTCTTTTGTGATGTATCTACTTTGACCCTCTATTATGTGAAATTGAATGTCAAAAAAAGGATACAATTTAAATCACACTTGGATCTCAGATTTGAATAACATAACGTCATCTTCTCTGTCTGTCGATATTTCATCCCTTGGATACATGGATGATGCGAACTGGATTGCCAGTTCTAAAGAAG